GTCTCGTCCTATCGGCTTGCGTTTCCTGTGATACATGCCCACCACCGTGCCTACTACCGTGCCTACTACCGTGCCTACTATCGCTTCTTTGTCGATGTACTTGCCACGTTGACCAGAAAAGAAGCCCAGACATAAGAACGCCCCCAGTTGTCAAAAAACACAATCCAACCATTATACTAATGTTTGCCCCTTTTCCTAAATTGGCGTAATAGTTATCTAATTTTTCATAAACTCTAGCTGGCGTTGTGTTTGGATTAGCACTTGTATGACGAGGAACTAAATAACCAACGAGAACCCCCAGTACACCAATAACGATGCATGCCATAGCAACAGTTCCTAAGCAGTCCGTTTTCTTTCGGCACGACTCGTCGTCTGTCATGTTCATTCTCATGCGCGGGAACTCTCGGGTTGTCATTGATTGGATGTTACCATGGCTACGTAGATTGTCATCCAATGATTCGTACACAAATTCGCTTTCATCAATCATCGTCGTATATGCATGTATGTATTTTGTACATGTTTTCAACAGGTACAGATAACAGCTATGGTCGTCAGTGCGTCTTCTTAGAACAATGAAACGGTCACGTCACCAAGACGTTTACCTAGAGTGAATCGTTAAATATTAGAAATTAGTTTTGCGTTCAAAAGCTGGATAAAGAAAAGTACTGTTTTACTTAATAAGCCAGTTTTATTTTTTTGTTCATACATAAATTCCAGATTGCAGATTCGTTCTTTATGTTTAACAATACAAATGTAGTTCAATGCTTATTATTTTCAATGAATGCATTAATATCCATTATATACGATAGAGGGCGCAATTTACCTATCCTGGCGCGCTAAGTGGAAGTAGTAAAGGGCAAGTCCAGGGTGGCAACACAACGCTCCCAGATGAATCAGTTCCATTAATGCAGGAGAGACAATTTACATTTTTTTTTTATATAACCGTTACTTTTCATTACTTACATATTAAACCTTTTTATCAGTATATGTAGTCCATTACCTTGATTATCTAATCTAAAGAGTTGATTGGTAAAGTTGTGAAAAATCGAGAAAATAATTTCATCTATAACTTCTAAAGAATAACAGATTGATTGAAAATTTAGAACATGTTAGCATACCAGTTCCAACCATATATGGTTGTCATAACAAAATATAACTAAAATATTAATTTTAACATTTTTCTACCAATGCTCAATTTTCGTATATTTGATACAATTTAACGATGAGAGTAGATCAGGTTATATATAACCTGTTGACCGAAAAAGTGTCATTCGATTTTTAACAACCAAAACAATTTTCATTTCCATAATTATTAAATTACACGAGTAATATGCAAACAGAAAATGTTAACTAATTCGCATTAGTATTTCCCAAGTTATTGGTGAAATTCTTTCCTTTCTGCGACAGAGGTGATGTCATATTTTACCAATAATTTCTTGCTGGAAAATCAAAATCTCGAATAAAATATACTAGTTAAAAATGAATGGAATTACGGGATTATTTGGATCAGACAAATCTGTCGGAATTTACATCATGTCGCCATTGAATTAATTGTTTACGCCACACTTATTAAATAGTAGCATACATTCACGTAGTTCTAATCGATGTGCTGCCTCACCGATCTGTTATATTATCCCTGCATTTTGTGATTAAGGGTTCAAAATAAATTTACCAGTTATTGCTTAACTTATTTGTTCAAGTGAAACTTTCCTTGATGTATGGTGACATTTATGTTGAACATTCTGATCTGTCATAAAAATATTTGTCGATAATGACGTGTTTGCACATTTTAATGTTCGCAGTAATACTCGAGATAAATTTTAACAAACAAATAGAATTTTGGGAGACGTAATAATACAATGGCCATCTTGGATACTATAAAGCTTGATTTTCAGTTTAGTATTCGGATTCAGTACCCACTTCTTCTTGTCTACGCTGATGGACGAAAAAAAGTGAAAATTCCGTGAGTGACCTAACAATATTTGATTTAAAAAACGTATTTAAAAAATGTAAAAACAGAAATTTATTCAGCTAGTGAGCTACTCTCGTTTAATTTTATTTGCATACACTATTGCTGTTCTATGAACATTACTTACAGTTAATTTATTCTCATGCGATTAAGTACGATTTTTGAGTCGTCGATATATTTAAGGTTGTAAGTGAAACAATTTTCCAATTATCAGTCATGATGTCAAAAGTTCAGCTTGCATGGACCAATCAGACTACTGAGATTTGTATGAAAGTATCAGAACCGTAAAACTTGTTATCACGCGAAACTGCGATAATGTATGGGGAATGCATTTATTCACTTTCATGACTGTTGGACTACCGTATTCTATAAAATAATACCCATAGTACGTTTGTTTTGATTTGGGCGAATGGAAAGCATACACGAATAATGAACGACACAAGGCAAATAGTCCAATTATGTGTCGGACCTCCAAAATCCTAAACCAATATGCCAAACACTACACCAAGCAGTCGATGTCTGATACAGCAATCACATTCCCTTCATTGGTTTCTATTGGCCGATGGAATACCATTGGAACAGTTTTCAAATGACGTCATTACTCACTGCGCTCGTTGATAGGTTTTTGATGTCGATAGTTGACCATGCAATTTAAAATTATTGTGTGAAAACGATGCACTGCAATTTGAAAAACATAACATGTGGGAAACAGTTGAAAGTTAGAATGTATGACCGCTAAAATAAAACGTTTGCAGGCTGTAACTTTGTTGCCGATACGATGTAATTATTGGTAGTAAGAGCTGATTCTATTATGTAATAGTCTAGCCATCTCGTTTCTATGGTAACACTCCTTCCCCAGTAACAACATTAAGCCACAGTTCCTCTATAGAGGGGCTGTGATTAAGCCCATAATACACGACAGAATGGGGGAAATTAGTCACAACAGGACAAAATAATTGCCAAAATTATAATTATCAAAACACGTGAAAATGGCATGTTATAAGAGAATGGATGTGAGAATGCGGTCTGTGACAATGAACTGCCACGTACGCACAGAAAGAGTTATAAGTATGTGTGCATACACAGCGAAGTATGCCAACAACCGCTATTGTCCGGAGAGGTGTGTACTGGGTTGCAATGTAGTATGCCCATTACGTACCTGTTAATGTCTGTGTTCAAAGGTGGATGTGTCTTTCACCCATCGTCTACAGTAGCTGTGTCACGCGCTGATAATTACGTCATCCAGTGAGTACGTTGACTGTGGGCGTTGTCACTGAGCCACACTGCATGCGAGACTACTAGAACCAGCTGTTGCACATCGGTTTATGTGGCCATGTAAACTGTACCGTATGTTTATCGAGTGCGTCATATTCACAATAAATATTCGTGTTTGTTCGTATTTTATGAGATTGTGTAAACACATACACACCATCACCGCTATATATATATATATATATATATATATATATATATATATATATATATATATATATATATATATATATATATATATATATTATATTTCATACTTAATATATATTCATATACTGTTATGTTTGGAATTTAAATAGATCAAAAACAAATAACAATGGCCTCGGTCAGTCACTGCTTGTTTTCACCTGGCAATCGTAGAATGGTATTTTATTGAAATGTATATTAGAGGCGCCATTGTCAGATTCGTATAATCATCGTGGGCAATAAAATAAAGTTTATTGAGCCCCTACATCACCCCTAACATTTCAACCTCTCTCTATAGTTACCTGAAAGGGTATATACAATTAAAATTATTAAAATGGGGGGCAAGGGGCAAGTTTAGGATTAGAGTTATGGATAAGGAACCCTTGGCTAATTGAAATGCATTCCTTCTTATTAGCATTTATTTATAAAATTGTAACACGTACTGAATTATGGCACAATACGAGTTTTCTAGAAATCCCTGAACCATTTCAGTGCAGGTGTTACCTGGCATACACATTACTGTACAAGAATGTTATGTAACATTTATATGTGTAGATGAACGACAGAGTTACGAGTGGAAACAAACCTGACTCAGATATGCATGGCAGGACACGTTTGTGATACATACATTTGTCATCACGTGTCACTTATTCTGTAGTCTATTTTCAGACATAACCGTTTCCGTTTCAGGCACATTTTAGCACTTTCAAACCAACTTTTACGACTTTCTAAAAACCTTTCCGTTTTTCTAACCGTCTTTCCTACCAACCTTTTTCCCACATTCCACCCAAATTTCTCCACTATGGTACTTTCTAAACTTTCCTTCAATTCTTTCTTTTAATTTCCAGGCAATAATTAGGACTTTTCAATCAATATTTTCTGTTTTCCAACTGACGTATAAGACTATTAAAACAACATACACAGCTTACCATTCCAGTTTTATGACTACATTTCTACCTAAATATTAAAGGGCGGTGGTCGATGCGCATGTGCGACATTTGTGTTGGTTTTTCCCACAATCCAATGCGCTCTTTGAATGGAAAGCACAAGTATGAGATTTGACCTGGGCACGAATTACTCCTAAATACCTTCCAACCACCTAAAAATTACATAATCAAACGTAACGTCTCAGTCAAAATCAACATCTTTGTTTTTGTTTATACGAGACCAATATATCGCACAAGTGGTGCGACGACTATTTAAAGCTTCCATTCACTTTTTCAGACTTCCAACCAACTTTACAATATTTACAACAGATTTTTCAACATTCAACTCCTACGACTTTACAACCAACATTTTTGCAATGAAACTTTTATGACTTTCTAACAGACTTATTAAATTTTACAACTTTCCAGGCAACCGTTACAAATTTCCAACCAAGTTTTTTGACTGTCAAACCAATCACTGGTACTTTCTATGTAACTTTCCAATAAGCTTCAGGTATTTCTAAATATTTTTTTAAATTGTCAACAATCGTCCAGCAACCCATGTCTGCTTCAGTTGTGGGAGTTATTATACCCTGATGATTTCTGATCATGTCAATTCAACCAGAAAAATACAGACAATTTAAATCTTTTCAATATTTACTGAGTTTATTGAGTAAGTTGGTAATATTCTAATTCACATTATTAAAAACTAATATGCTGCCCCCATAGTATCTAAATTATATATCCTCAGAATTCCATGACGATAATGTGTACAACTTTACTGTAAATCTAGCAATTCGGTAATGTAGATGGGCAAGAGGGTCATTCGCAGCATCAGTGTCTGTAGCTGTCTGTAATGAAGATTTAGTTACTAACTACAGTCATACAAACAATAAAATCTGTCACATTTGTTTGTTTAAGTTGGAAAGCACAACTTACAGGAAAGGTGCCCCCCCTCCCCCAAGAAAAATTCTGTCACAGTATTGGCAGTATTATGAAATGTGTAATGTCCCCACAAATCTGGTGAATATGGCAGCACAGCCGTTTGAACAATGAAATCACAGTAACTTTCACAAATTTTGTCCAGTGAAGATATTCAAAAACGTAAAATCACTGGAGTCTGAAATTCAATAGTTTACAGTGCTCGTGAGAAATATTTGATAGTTTTCATTTGTGTGACCAACTATGGTCATCCATTTTATATATACAGTGAGTTTAAAATAACAATGGCAGTTTTATCAAAATCTCAAAAAAACATGATTGATTTAAAACCTATGGATTGCAATCTAAACTGTTTAAATTATTAATATGGTTCGTGTCAAAAATAGCCTTGTGTCTAAAGTTGCACTCTGGGAGCAATCACCAAGCTTTATTGGGAGTTAGGTATATTTGATGATCTGAATTTGACAAAATCGTAAAACTGAATGTCAGGGATTGTTTTGGTTTCTAATTTGGTTCTTTGTTTTAAATTTATTTTGCTGACACTTTTTCTTGCAAAACTCATGAATTTACAACAAATTTGTTTCTAATTACTGCTGCCCACAGTAATTGCAAACAAGACAGAATCCCACAACATCAGATTATCAACTATTCAAATAATAATCCCAATAAAGCTACATGTGAGAGCTCACAGTGATACTTTAATGGCAGATAGGCAATAGAGTAAAAAACACAATACCAAATTTCATTTAAAAAAACACAATATTCCACACAATGAAAGTAACACAAGTACAAAGTTGATTATATTATTTAGTAAAATTTGATTAATGAATTGAACACACTGAATGCCAGTGCTGGCATATCTGGATTTTTACAACATTCATTGTTTTGTAATTGTTTTTTGTTATATTATCGTATTTGCTCTGTTAGTAGTGCATACACTTACATAAATATGTATAAGAATCAAAGTAAGGTATGTTTTATGATTCAGAATAACAATTTGAATTTTGGGTTTATTTGTGATATTGTCTTTTTCAAGATTAAAAATTGAAGACATATACATTTAGGATTTCAATGGAGAGCACACAATACAGTTAGGATTGCATTGCAGCCAGCATACATGAACCTTTAAGCTTGTGATATAGTGGCATATTGAAATTTACTGTGTATTAAAGTAACAACTAGCTGTTGACACCCGATCTTGTACGTGATCTCCCTGTCGGTAACAACCTCCTCTTGCTTGTACGCCTTGATGACGGTGAAGGTTCCAGGTTAGGATCGTTATTTTCTTCAGCACTGTTCAAACTATCATTCAGAGCTGAAATACAGAGGAAATATATAACAAAGTAAAATTAAATCATTCCTCTAACAACAATGTGCTTTAATTACACACATGTGTGTAAGGAAGGCCGTTCAGTGTGAGCAATGTTTTATATATAGTTGTCATGTTTGTGAAAGATTTGTGACATCTGCACCATGTACTTCATTGCTAGAGAGTGTTAATTTTTTAAAAGGTCAATCATTTTTGTCGTCTTCAGAAAAGTTATTTTGTTTGATATAAATATGTCGGTTAAAATAAGTATCACTTACACTTTGAAAGATTTTTGCAAATAGAAATATTCTTATTTTTATCATGATCAAAATGTTTAAAAAAAAATTGAAAAAAATGGAGATTTATTTTGTGAAAGTTGACTAAAGATACTCCAATTCTTGACCAAATCAGGCTTTATCAAGATTTATCATGCACGAAAAATGTTTTGTTTGCAGGAAACACAACATTATTTATTAGATGAAAAATCAAAAACATTGCATGTGTTGTGATTGTTATTGTACATCTTTCATGATCGTTTACCTTTTAATTTTTTATCTATTTCATTTGACTTTTTTCCCTCCTCCTCCACTTCCTGTACATCGAATAAATCAAGATCGCTATCATCTTCATCTGAAAATGACAATATTTTTTTCTTTGTTTTATCTCCAGATGGTTTTCGAGTACTTCTTCTCATTCCTTTCGTACCCGGGTTGTACTCGTCATCACTGTCAACATCTTTCCCTGATCGCACTCGTCGTCTAGCTGGAGTTTTTCCTTTTAGACTTTTGCCTGAAAACAATAATATGGGTATACTAGTCAGTGGTAGTGGTAACAGTGGTTGCTATGATACACTCAGGATTAAGGAAGACTTTCCAATGTATCCCTACCTCTAATCCTGACTTTAACCTGACCTTTACCCTCTATTGCCTCCTCAAATTAATTGTATATGCCCATTCTTGAGAACATTTATAGTTATCTAGAGGCCCATATACAGCTGAATTGGGGGGCTGGGGCTGGAGGGTTACAGTTAGTTAGGGTGAGGGGTGAGAGTACATTGTTAAGTCTTTCTATGAGTGATAAGTCACAAGTTCAAATTCTTCCTGGGTTTTCAATCAGTGTGTCCTCTAACAGAACTGATTTTGTAGGGATCAAAAGTCAAAATGGTTTTCCCCCCAAATCAAGTTATCTTGCAGACTATTGTTTTCAAGAACAAAATAAAATTATTCTATTTGTGGCATCTGATTTCTTTTGTTTTTACACTTATTTTGTTTGAATTTGAATTTCATAATTATTTTAATTTTTCAAATCATATATTTTATAACTACAATTTTTCAAGATTAATGTACAATTTGTTATTGTGTTAAATCACTGTGTGCCTGTGTCACTTCATATCAGCTTTGCATCGGTTTGAATACCAAACAGAAAGAACATTTTTACACAGTTCTCTCTCAACACTGACCACCTTAAGGCAATTCGAGTACTATTTAAATGCTCTACTACTGAGCATGTTACTGCACATATGTGCAATGCATTATGGGAGAGAACTTCTCATTGTATATAATGGAACACTTATATTGGCAGCTAGCTAAATTAAATATCAATTTTTTTAACATGATTTATATCAAAAATATGTCACAAGCATAATTCAGAGATGTGTTTGAGATGTGTGTTAACATTTTCTACTGTTTCCATCATGTGACCAATTTCAACAATGGCGACTACCGGTACTAGAATGTTAGTTTTTACATCACATTTTATGTGATATTGATCTTGTGTGTAGTCCATGCAATTGTGTCTAAAACAATATGTGGTCATTTTTACATGGTTATATTAAAAAAAAAATTAAAAATCACAGCCATTAGCATTTTATTTAATTAATTGATGGCATTGGAAAGGAAGGAATTTCTTGAGAGTCTCTGTGACTACCTGTCTTAAGCACCCAGTGAAATGTTTGATGACACACAATATCTTTATGTATATCACGTAATAAATCTTACCTGGAGTTTTTTTATTTCTAACTTGAAGTGCTTTTTGTGTTGTCTGGTCATCACTCATTCCTTTGGTGTGGCATTCCAATAATTTAGCTTCAAGTTCATCCACTATGACCTATAAAAAAGGATTGGTTAATGCATGGTTGGAGTAGATGCATGGATTGATTGATGTGTTATTACTATTATTATTCCTATAATATTTTACTTTTTATCTGATAAATGTATATAAGCTACAATAATTGAAATTTAATTAGAAATATGGAAATAATAATGGTGTTTTATATTTTATGAAAGTACAATACATGCACTGGGAAATGCAGCAAAATAGTAGTCATGACAACAACACAGTATCCAAGAATGTTTCATTTTGAAGTAAAAAGTAGTCATATTTATGATTAGGATAAACATTTGTACACTTTCACACTGGGACTACTTGCTATGTTTATAAATATGTTACTGTATTTGTTCCATTAGAACCACACATATACCAAAAAATGAATTTATTGTATATGTTAGATCATTATACCGTATTTATCCGGGTATAAGCCCAGGGTCTTGAACATGGAAAATTGCCAAAAAGAAGGGGTGGGCGTTTGCCAGGAGATCCCCGGCAAAAAAAACGAAAATTCGTGAAAATTGACAACACGCAGTTCGATCGAACTGCCGCAGGGAATAGAACGGCAAATGAAAACATGCACCGGAAATAAATGAACAATATGCAACACTAGAAGTAGAACAAAAATAATGTATTGCTTATAATGTGACAAATGAACCAGAAATAATAAAAATCGACAGTGAGGAATCATTTGAATTAGGATTTTCCCGCCGACAAACACGCCCAATACGCGTGAACTAAAAATGAATTAAAATGTCAGGGGTTAAACTGCGTGAAATGATTTCCGGTCTCGACAAATTATGCATCAACCGTCATACAAGAACAATAATAATTTACAAATTTACACAGTAACAAGTCATTGTCAATGACACGTCCCCGTTTCGTTCATATTTGAGTGACATATACATTCAAAGCAGATCATGACCGAAATTGCAGACCACTTTCCGTGGTCTGATCCGAAATGCACCTGCATATGTACAACAGATTGTACTAAATCTGAACAAAATCCATCCATGCATGACTGAGATCCGGTTCCGGAATTGTGAAAATACGTGATTTTGATGCATTTTCGGCCTTAAAA